TCTTCATTTTCAGATGAGTTCGATGAAGATAGCGAGATGCAATCAGACACAATGCTGTAACGGTGGTGGAATTTTACACTGTCAGAATTTTCAGTCAGTTGCTTTAATGGTGCAAATAGATCTTCGACGTTTGAAACATCACTATCTTCTAACGTGAGCGTCTCGCCCGTCGGACAATTCCTCAAACTACCTTCTGTGTCCTGAAGCGTCTCCGAATGTTTAGCTTCACTAATTTCCATTTTGATATTTCCATGATTTATCCCAGGCAAACGTTTCGTTGATAGTGGAGCCTTAGTGTCCTCCTCATCATCTGTACCACAATGAATCCCATCATCACATGTCCCACTCTCTTTTCTATCATCTGTACCACAACGTACCCTATTATTACATTTCCCAATCTCTTCCTCATCATCGGTACCACAGTGAATCCCATCATCACATGTCCCACCCTCTTTTTCATTGTCCGTACCACAGTGTTTCTCATCATCACATGTCTCAGTCTCTTTCTCATCATCGGTACCACAGTGAATCCCATCATCACATGTCCCAGTCTCCTTCTCATGGTCAGTACCACAGTGTTTCCCATCATTACATCTCTCAGTCTCTTTCTCATCATCAGTACCACAGTGAATCCCATCATCACATGTCCCAGTCTCTTTCTCATCGTCCGTACCACAGTGAGTCCCATCATCACATGTCCCAGTCTCTTTCTCATCATCGGTACCACAGTGAATTCCATCATCACATGTCGCAGTCTCTTTCTCATCGTCAGTACCACAGTGTTTCCCATCATCACATGTCCCAGTCTCTTTCTCATCATCGGTACCACAGTGAATCCCATCATCACATGTCCCAGTCTCTTTCTCATCGTCAGTACCACAGTGTTTCCCATCATCACATGTCCCAGTCTCTTTCTCATCATCGGTACCACAGTGAATCCCATCATCACATGTCCCAGTCTCTTTCTCATCGTCAGTACCACAATGAATCCCATCATCACATGTCCCAGTGTCTCTTTCATTGTCTGTACCACAGTGGACCTCGTCATCACATGTCCCAGTCTCTTGCTCGTCATCAGTACCACAATGTATCCCGTCATCACATGCTTCAGTCTCTTTCTCATCATCAGTACCACAGTGAATCCCATCATTACATGTCTTTGAGGCCACAACAGCTCCAATCTTATGTCCGTCATTTCGGATTACATTAGATCTATTGTAATTCAAATCAAAATTATGAGTCGGTTGCAAATCTGGGTCAATGTTTACAACACTGCTTGAATTATGTCTTTCAGAAGGCACATGAGAATTAAATAAGATTGTACAATGACCATCATTAGGTTGACGATCCCTTGGCGTATGAATATCCACAGAACATACATGTCCGTTTTCACGTCTTGTTTCACCACCCCGAATTTGATTCATTTCAATTTCTTCAGGAAGACTTCTTCGCTCTGAAGCTACTACAACTGATTTCGTAACACCATTTTCTACAACGTTTCCCGAACTATGCCTCCACTTTGCTCTCTCAGCCTTTTCCCTTTTTATCTTTTCTCTATCCAGCGAATATTGCTTCTGCAGTTGCGAGGGCTTGTGATACAAGAGCTCGCTTTCCAAAGGCGGAGAGCGGCTGGAGGTCCTGTTCCCCTGGGCAACACCAGGCCGGAGAGAGCCCTTACTTGCACGAATATCTACAAGTATTTCTTTTCCTTTTGGCGTTAATGACTCTTCATCTTCATCTTCATAAGATCGTACAACACAACAGCAGATCTTACGTTCAACAATACCTGCAACAGTCGGAACATCGTGTGATGTCCGGAAGAATATCCCTTGTATCGATAAGCTAGGGTGGTAACAATGGTAATACAAAACCAAAGCAATAACACCAATAAAAAAACCACCAAATACCGTTCCTAAAGCTGCCACAAATACTACACCATACTCGTGGCTGTAAGGCAACCAGAATCCCATAAGGACACAGTTCTCCACAAACATTAAAGCATAAAACAATATCAAACGTTTTCTAGTGAACCCATCTTTCACATTGAAAAAACAAAAAACATATATGAATCCCACAACGATTGGGAACATAAATTTTAGGATTTTATTCTTGGAACCAAAGGATGGCTTCTGCCAACGTATCCAGAACGCCATTAAAAACCAATGTAGACAAATGAAAAGAAAGATCCAAGATGTGTAGACTGAGGCAAAGAGGACAAGGGTAACAATACGTGATGCCACCATCGTTATGCGCCAAGCAATCTGACAAGCGAAGGCCCACCATGTCATCTTGCCTATTAAAAATAAAATAAGTAGTTTTAAGCACCGTTCACAACAACAGCTATTTTTGGTGTGGCTGCAGAATTTGTGTCAGTCTACCCCCCCCCCACCAATCATCATCTATTCACTCCTCACTCCTTTCCTACCCTTGGCCCCAATGTCATTGTAACTAGTGGTGAATTTGGGGTGTGTATAGTGGTGGATTTTGGGGTGCATCCCTGTAGACTTTGGTCACAAGACTTGACTGCCAGGGGGTAAAATAACATAACATAGTGTACCAAGGTGCAAATATAGAATGACTTTTGATCTCTTGCAGTTTCCTAATTGGTCAAGATTAACTGCTTACAAATTCATTACCTGAAGGCCCCTAAACTCAATCAGACTCAAACAATGTTTAAAGGTAGTGTGCCATGTTTAAAGGTAGTTTACCTTTATTTTTCGATGCATCTCGTTGGGCTTTGGAATAACTGACGATTGATGACGCCAAAGATATCAATGAGAAACAAGCAGAAAGTGCTGTCAACCAATCATTGTCTTTGTCAAAATGCCTGTTATATGCTAAAATATACAGCTGAAGAACCATTTGTGGTGCTGATTCAATAAATACTTCAAATAATCGTAGCATTGCAATGTCACGCCATTGTTCAATGTATATACTATAGGCATTTCTATCTGGATTTTCCTTCCTGCTGCGCCTGGCACTTCTGTAATACTCCCAGTACCTAGGTATCAAAACAATTGATCAAATGTAGCAGATTTAGATGGTGTGCAGGCAATGGATCTAACTTGAGAAACCATATTCTCTTGTTCTTCTTACTAATTATAATGTAATGTATATACTAAATAGAGTGTTAATACCTAGCAAGGCACTTCAAGATCTAATGTCATACCAACTGTCTCCAAAGTAAAAAAGATTGCAGTAAACAACAATATTAACAATCATTTTTGGATACAGATATACAAGAATATGCCTATATGTTATATAATTATAAAATATACTACATTCAATATAGCCATATTAGCAATAGTATGGGCTTTCTTTTCGCATAACTTAATTCATGCATTTTCACTTTGGATTGTTTTAACAAGAGTTATGTGAATTTGACTATTTTTCTACATACATACTGTATAATTTATCATTCAAAAAGTTTGACATAAAATGATCCGTCATTCAGCTCATAGTTACATGTTTTACTATAATTAAAATCACAGCATGTGGTTGAAGTTTTCTTATGCTTTGTTGTTGCTATTTTCCTCATAAATATACCTTTCTCCCCATGTGTTCATAAAACATGAGGTAAAGTTATATTTATTGGTCATTCTGTAGAATCAGCATGGCGGAATTGAGAAACATACAGCTAAATAGACATTCTATAAACTGATTTCTTCTCAATTAAAAAAAGTCTGTTTACATGCATGCATCCATGATTGTAAAATGATTGTGTTTTATATTTTTGTTCTTCAATGAAAATATTTAAACACCTTTCTTTTATATAACCAGAATGTTCAGACTTTACTACTTGAAGTAGAAGTATTTTGTTAATAGGATTTATACAAATAAAATTTCACCTTCTGAGATAAGATATATATTAATGCCTGGTTCTAAAATCTGTATCACCCTTTACTACATATAAACTGGCCCTAGTTTAAATATGTATACACATGTGTGGGATGACAAGACCCAAATTTGTATGAAAAATAAATTGTGCTGAGTTTAATAAGGCAAATGTTCTAGTTTCATATTACATCTGATTGATCTGAACCTTGCCCTTGGACTTTCATAATCCATTAATCCTCCATACTGTTACGGTACTTCTAGTGTAAGACACAGTACTGTCCTATAATCTCATATCACTTTATTTTCTTAATATCCCTATTGGCAAAACCAAGTTTCCAGGGAAATTTCATTCGTAATATCAACTTGATATAATATTAATAAGACCTTAAAATGACAATATTAAACATTGAATACCTTTTCAACGGGCCAAGTTGTAGCACATGCAAAACAACTATGGTTGTTTTGCTGGCTTCTTCAGCCGTGTCGTCGTAATACCACTTTAGTGAGAACATCATCATAACTAACGAAGCACTCATGACACACGCGAGTGTAAGAGAAAACCAGATGTAGTCCCCATTGCGGAAATACTTGAGAGAAACCAAAATATCTGTCACAACGTCCGCTATATAGAAACCCACACTGCCGAAAATCCACAAATAATCGTACCAAGCGGCTTTCAACGATTGATCTGAAGTCGACAAACGATCCCTAGTTGGTCCGCCGTCTTTACAATCAACGCGGTGATTATTGTAGTCATCTACCAACGACTTATTAGACATCTTACTTCAGTTATAACGCGAATGTCATCGTCAAAACATCAGCGTGTTTTCCTTTTTTATCCCCCGCTGATTGTTAAAGCATCTAGAAATACACAGCGCATTCCTAGGATTCTCGCTTAATTTGCGGGAAATTGTCGCGCCAGTTTTTGGCATTTGGATTTGAAGTTTGAACATTCTGGAAAATACATGAACTCTTCATGAAGCAATGGTGGACTGCATAAAATAGGTTAAATAACAGAAACTTTAAAAAAATAGGACGCGACAATTTAGAGGATATTCCTCCTCGACCTCGAGTGTTGCCTTAAAAATACGCCAAAATTGTGAGTCGCCGAATCGCCTGAAAAGCGTATAATGCGTCGCCAAAAATAACGGCATAAACATTACATTTGACATGCATGGACCGCATATTGAAACGTGACTAATATTTGACTACTCATTGTCAAAATGCCTCCAAAAAAGGCAGTTCCTACTTCAAAAACGTGTAAAAAGGGAGCCGCAAAGCCGGTCTCTAATATAAAGTCAGTTTCGCCGACGAAATCTCGCACGACAGGCAAGGGGACTTCAAAGGCTCCCCCGAACACGGGCCCGAAGGGAGCCAAACATGCTGCAGCAGGAGTATCGGGTAGCAAGGCTGGCGGGAAAACAAAATCTGCCAAACCGCAGGTATTTTGTCATAGAATATTAATGCGTATCACTTTCAAGTGAGAGCGTGTTTTTACTGAAATATCGGAATAATATTGTCAATACAATATACGATCTTGTTTATTTTCATTTTTGTTGCTATGGTAACATGATAGATACTGCAAATATTGTAAAAATCACACCACATATAAACTATAAATAAATTTGGAGCAAAAGGATTAACAAAACATTGAATTTAGAAAAAATGCTGCCATTAATCTTTAGTACACAACACTTTGCATTCCATCTGCTGATCTGCATCAATATATTTATAATGGGCTCCATGCAAGGGCTCATAGCCTCATAATATATAAATGGCTCAATAGGACCTTTCAATAATCATCTCATATGTTGTGATGGTGCTAGCCAAAGTGCCAAACTAGCCTGGTTGCCACTCAAAGTAGCACAATCAAAGCATAATTCACCTAATTAATCATTATAGCAGTCTAAACCAGCTATCTTTGGTAAGGGCAATTAATAATAAATGTGAAAAACAAAAACGTGAAGAATAAAAAACATGAAAACAATTGATTCAAGAATTCACCATTTGACTACAACTATGCACAACTTGATATTGCACCAATTGGGTTATATACTGTTTTAATACTTTTCCAGTAAATGAAGGACAACGTGTATGGTCATTAATACCCAAGGAGTAGCCGAGTAAATGGCAAAATTTAATATTCCATAATAATTCATAGCTGGGACATAATTTATATATGCATCCCCATTATACAGGTGCAGGTGCTGTTCCAAAATTTCAGAAGAAATTCCATAACTTTTCCAGTTTTACAGTCCAGGGAAAAGTTTAGATATATAATTAAGACTCTAGCTGATCGAAACATATATGTTCATTTTTTATTGCAATAGAAATGCATCTTAACATTAAACTGTTATTAGCCAAAGTGTGCAAATGCAATTCATCCCACAGCAAAAAGCTGATAAAAAGTCTGATATTACCTGACCCATGATGGTCTCACCCCCCAAGATAGTATGCAACCCATGGGTATGGGAAATCTAGTCTTAGATGTGTGGCTGCATGCCTAAATCACTTTCATGTGCAAAAATGAAAACCTATTCAGAATTTCTGATAAGGAATAGTTTAGAGAAGTTGCAATATTTTCTAATTTAGCCTAATTTTTAATACCATATTTATATAATTGATAGGTGAAGAAACTTTTACTATTTGCAGTTATAGCCAGCAAAATCAAACGTTATATAACACTAAAAAGATGGTAACTTTACTGGGTTAGCAAACTTGCTTCCATAGGTATAGCTTTATTAGAGTTTAGACTTTTGTGGAAACGACTTAATTTCGAGTAATATTTTTACCTCGCTTGGCTTCCAGTGGCTTTGAAGAAAATATATATCTTGCTTGATAATTTCTCACTTGGCATCCGCCGGAATAAAGTTGCAGTTTTTCAAATAAACTCCCAGATAAACTCTGCAAACTCTTCACGTGTTTTTACCACATTCAAAATGGAGGGAAAAGCCAATCCTTGAGCAAATCGCACATTTTGCCGCCTCGTACCCAGACACCTCGAATTCGTATGCTCGCTCTTCCCCACGTGTACCCCCTGAGGAGCGAAATATTCGCTCTGGTGGGGGCAGAGGGAATACCCTCGGTAAAAGGTTTTGCGCCTTCGTAGGTCAATTGGAATTTAAAAGAAGTAATTTAAAATGAAGGCTCTAGATAGCGACGAGAATGGCTGCATGTTTGATGTTTTTAACAGAACGCCATCTTCAGCTATCTTAGCCCCGGCGGTCTGTTAAAATTGTATAGAAGACAAATAAGGCTCTTCTTTTTAGTTCATTTCCATGATGTAGAGGTTTTTACTCCAGTGCATGCCCACGAGATACTGAAAGGCCTGTCGAAGTGTATCCGCATTTGTGAACCAAACTCTAAGCATGCGATTTATCCCTGGGGGGGGGGGGGCTCCGACGATTTACCCAGTTTTTTATTGAAACCGTACATAAAACTACAGAAAGAATGGAGCAAAGAAGATGACCAGGCAAGAATCATACAAACAGCAGCAAGGAAGTATCTTGCACGGAAGAGAGTGCAGAAGTTGAAGAAAGATAAACAAGATTATGAAGAACTTATGGTGAAATTAGAGAAGGAGGTAGTTTATAGGTCATAACATAACGTACCTACTGAGTTACTGTAGACAATTTCAGATTTTGAAACTTTCGATTGTTCATATGGTGATTAAAGTCCTATCTATTTCAGTCCCAGGTTTTAAATTCCTGTAAGGAAAGTCGAGTTTTAAAATCTGTCCTCCGATGGGACAGTGGAAACATTACACGCATTTCTACTTTAATCAGAGCATACCTGCATGGCTATATTATTACACTGTCATTTGACTACAGGCATGGCTGCAAATGGTTGAAAGGGAGCGAGAGGAAGAGGAAAAGGAGCGACAGAAAGAACAAGAGGAAAGAAAGAAAAAAGCTCAAGAAATGAAGTGGAGAAAACGTTTGTTGGAGGCTGCGTTTGATGGGGATGATGAGGAAATCAATTGTGTCTTGAATGAGGTCTGTGCATTTTTTACAGGTGTACAAAAACATACATAAAGTGCATGTTTTTGTACATTTGTACACGTTCATTGCCCATTTAAGCTTAACATATTTAAGACAAAAAAAAGCATTCACAATTACAACCCATCTCTAAGGATTAAAACCCATTATCCCCTTCACACTCAGAGTTGAAATTCACGCTTCAGCTTGTTCGAAATAACACAATTAAGGATTGTGCAATTCTATGCAAGGAAACTCGTCATTGTCATTCTTGAATTCCGCAAATGTTTATGCATAAAAGTATCCTGATTCTTTCAACAGGCTTTAGCCAACGACAAGAAGCAAGAAAATATACCAGAAACAGTGCGAGAACTACACATAAAGAAGCATCAACTAAGCCTCTCTGATTGCGAAGACGCGAACGGTAACACTCCACTTTCGGAGGCCTCAGCCGGAGGACACGCGAGTACCATACAGCTGCTTCTTCACAAGGGAGTTGAGATCAATTCCAGAGGCCGTTATGAGCGCACACCGCTGTGGAGAGCTGCCTTCGCCGGGCATTTGCAGGCAGTCCAGGTAAATCATTTATGAACCAATCGATTTGCAAAGAAAAATAATAGCTTTTATCTGCGAACTTTTCAATTTCAGTTGCTCTTGGAAAATGGTGGTGATCCTCGCCTTCATGCTAGTGATGGAACATCTCCTGTCCAGGTAAACTATACCGTCCCGTTTACACTACTCTCAATCGGATTGCCTGTGTACGCTATCTTTTGATACGGCGCAGTTAAAATTGCTATACCCGTACCAATTTTATTCGTGCTCGACCTGAGCGCAGATAATAGGGACCTTAAGATCTACGACGTCAATAATCTACGACGGCAAGCGGAAGTAGTTTTGCAATGTTTGCAGTAAATGCGCAAATATATTTGGTACGGTACCACGTTTAGCTGTGGCGCGCGTATGGATTAAATGCAGTGTAAACGGGGCTTTCAAATAAGTGACCGAGCTTGCAGCTTCTTGAAGTAAATTTTCAACTAGTACAAATCAGCAACAGTGGGTAAATTGCAGGTAGCGGCAATTGCAGTTGTGGAAGAATTTCTAAAGGCCTGGGATGTTCAACGTACAGACGAATTATTGAAAAAACTTGAAGAAAATAAAGAACAAAAACTTGAGGAGGAACAGGCGCAACAAAAGCAAGAATGTGACAGGTTTTTGTTTATGTTTTATGTCGCTGCTATTATAATGGTTAAAAAAGTTTTGTTTTACTGTTTTCAACCACTTGGCTGGTTCGATAATCATGATACATAGTTATATTTATAGCTTCTTGCTTCCCTTTTATTATGCATATTATCTTTTTGATATTTTGTATTAAATTTCAGGTTAGAAAAGAAATTACATGAAGCTGAGAAAGAGGACAAAGCTTGTCAAATGAGAGTAAGTATATATACCACCGAATCAGATTTTAGCCCGTTTTCGTGTCTCCGAGTGTTTTAATTTAATTTCTGCTATAGTTACTTGCCGTGATGTAGGATTTGTGACCCTACAAACTATGTTTCATGTCTCGTTCGATGTTTTGTAGCTGGAGAAAGCACATTGCGAGCTGAACAAGAGGATATTTGAACATGACAAATGCGTTGCTATGGGAGATGAGAAGAAAATAAAGATTACTTTGCAGGTATTTGATGTAAAGTACCTTATTACCATATTATGCTACACTATAGTTATTGTTTAAGTGAGACCATTCTTGCATAAGAACCTTATTTAACCCAACTTTATAGCACTTATATTGTCCTCCAATAACTGGGTCTTGATATTATCCACTAAATGAGCGTCTTCCATCACTAACATTTGTTTATTCTGAAAAAGACAATATTATAATATATGCGGCGGTAGCTCCTCAAAGACAAGCCCAACCCGTGATATCCCAAGACGAATATTGTATCAAAATGAAATATCTTTCTCAAAAGTAATTTTCGATCCAGACTGTTCATGATGCCGAGCTGGAGTTGGAAACAGCAAAACAAAACAGCAAGGTAGCACGTGATAAACTCGCGCAGGTAATCATTATGCAGGCATTAATTCTCTATTTTCCTTTTCTCTAATAATGTCGTGTCATTTAACTATGTTCCCAACGAATGCATGTTTTTTCAAAATATACAGCTTCATCATTTTATTCATTTTAGTTGAAATTGAGATTGAGAGAGCAAAGAAAAGAAGGAGTCGGTAATACCGGTAAGCCTTTAATTTCTTTATACTTCAAAAAAGCCTGTACCTCAAAGAATCTTAAGGTGCTATATTCAAAAAGCTCTCGTACCAATATACATTTATCATTAGTCTTGCGTTGGAAAAGACAAATTATGAAATTTGCAGACTAAACCGGCTCTGCATGGTTCGAATTGCTATAATGTTTAGAGCAAGTTCCTACGGCGTATATACCATTAACTTAATTTGTGGGACATAGTGACTTGAATTTTCCATTTCTTAAGGCGGCGAAGATGCAAGTGAACTAGTAGGGATAAAGGTGTCTATAAAGGAGCTTGATGATGTCCTGATGAGGGACGTTGGTGGTAAAATTGCTCAAAGTGGCAGGTATTCTATCTTTGTCCCTCGCTATATATATTGATGTAAATTCGCAGCTTATACTGAGTAAAAACTGTTGAGAAACTTACGGTGACCTGCAGTTCTGAAGGCTCACAGTTTTATGACTGGTAAAATAGATTGCACCCTATATATTTTATAATATACGTTTCATTATTTCAGATGGCCTCTTCTTATCGATTCTTCAACTCAAACTTCTACGTTTCTGCGTTATCGTGATACAAACTTTCTCAACGCCCTGAATCCAAGCAATATGGAACCGGATGTCATACGGCTTGCTATTCTGGGAGCTGTACGGTGAGATGATCGTTCGAGTTAGATGTGGACATTTCTGTTTTAGGTCTTCTAACGCGATCTGCATGCGTTTCGTTCAAAGAGAATTGTTTATCTAGGCTCTCCGATGTTCAAGTACACTATATTCAAGGCATTTTTCTCGTTGGTTTTCGCATAAAAAATTAAAAGCTTTTCGTTTTACGCACTACTCTCTATTTTAGGTAAGTTGTCCGTTTAGGTTATTTGTATCCAAGCGAATGACTAGCTATAGTATGCTATATACGCTATTTCGAAAATATCACATTTTCTTAGAATTTTTCCATAATATTTATTGCGGTGATTCAATTCTGTTACATAGTTTCGGGAAACCACTGGTGCTGGACATGATGGCAGTTGATATGTTCGAAAGTGTCAAAATAAAGTTCGACGTCGTTCAAGAGGGCCTGCTAAACACAATCATGACTAAAGAAATCCTTAAGGATGACAGGTTTTTTCAACATTTTGTGTGTTTTCGGTTTTAATGCATTCATATATAGGTATCGTGAGCTTTTGAATGTTGAAATCGTACAGCTTTAAAAGTATGCCTGTCATGTTTTCATCCAAGGTATTCAGTATAGTGGGACTACCTCCAATTTAACCTCGTACCCAGGGTCTTTTTACCTCCGCTCCAAAACAAGCGAATTTACACTCGGTACTAGAGGTTGCCTGAAATTAATGTTCTCCAGCTATACTTCAATACTTTGTCGCGGAAGCGCGCTATATATGCATTCTTTATGTAGAAAACTCTCCGAATAAAACTTACGAACTATATATAGCTACCGACCGGCCAGACCCGATATTTTTAAAACATGTTGACAACTTTCACGATTCCAGTCATGCAGCCGACATGCTTGTGAGCTTGATTTAAAGTCAATTTTGACAATAGAAAAGACGATTTAAAGAATTCTTGGGTGATCTATCCTCTTGTCACTTTTCAAGATTGCAAAATTTTAAATGCATCGGGTTATTTGGACCTGGGTGTTTTAAGTCATTGTTATTTGAACTTTCTATTCACAGATTTATGTCGCTAGTTCGTGCCGAGGATGGAGAACAGTACAGCAAGACTGCATTCCTCGGGGCAAAAATCGAGAACTTTAAATTTATTATCTTAACCCAACTGTGGAATCCAAGCGAAAACTTGATCAACCAAACCTATCCTTTGAGAGTTATGATGCCCTCCAAAAGTTGAGATTTATATAAAAAAGGCTATATATTGACAAATTTAACAGGCATGTTTTAGATATTGTTGCTATATAGATATTTCATCTTTTAGTATTTGAAGCAATAAAGTGTGGGATCCGGAACTGCTATCGAATTTTAGCCATCATCATGCCGACTCAGCCGTGGAGGGTCGCTAAATGGGCTCAGTAGACCAGCCCTTTTGTGAAAGGATGAGTTCGTAGAAGGAAAATCCTACCTCGACATTCGACAATCCGCGATCGTTTAGCTGAAGGATTAACCGGATTCTCGCCTTCTTCTCGATCTTTTCTTGAACCGCTGTTTCTTGTTGTGCACGTTTGCTCCACCAAAGATACCGGTCTTGAATCTCGGCTGCCTTAAGGGGACTCCTTTCTCGTTCACTTACCGGTTTGGAGTTGTTGATAAATCTTATCCACGCTCCGACTCGGATGACTCTGACAGGTTCATGAGCTAGTTCATCGAATTCGTCACGATCCTTCGTTGTTGTCACCGTCGCTGCAAGGACTCTTCGAGCAACTTTCGCTTCAGCGCTGGTTTTCTGACAGCGCTCCAAAGTGATAGTTGGAGACCAGTATATATTTGCCGCCTCGACTACCAGGTCCGCCGGGTTTTGAACAATGGACACGTAACGCCATTGGATATGAGCTTTTTCCTTGGTCTTCGCCACACGATTGGAGACAAATTGGCGGTACTCCCCCTGACCATTGATCCAGTATCCGTAGACGTTTGTTACCAGATTCGCTGCCATTTGTGCCACAAGAAGCTCGAGACGTGGGATTGTTAAATTCTTCTTTGCTAATCATGACTTAGAGCAAACCAGGACTTGTGTTGCAATAGATCTAGCGTATGTAAATTCGAATGCCATTTGTGTAGTCTGAACGCGTTGCATCTTCGAATACTTTGTTCGCTTCTCTGCCACGGATTTCACGTTCTCACCCCCCGTCATGAAGTCGTGGACATACAGGTTGTCCCGGATCTCTCTAACTAAGTCTGGGTATTTCTATTCCCAGGCGTTCAAATGTTTGTTGATTACTCCGCCAAGCAAGAACGGGGAGAAGGTTAATCCAAACAGAGCCATCGTGAACACCGATACACCGTCAGTTTTTCACTGCCTGAATTCTCCCAGAGAACCGTCGGTTCTGTTCCTATATCCTCACCTGCAGGAAGGCTTTTTCGATATCGCTCGTTGGAGGTAAATAACAAATTTTGCCACTGGGAAAATACACTTACATCAATAAAAGAAATGAAAGGTATAAACATTGTAAATATACACAGCTTGACACACCAATCACCAATTGCAATATTGTGCAAAATATGTCGTTTTAAACGAATTTTTTCTATTTCTAAATGTTTTTTCCTAAAATATCATTTTAGGATGTCTAACGTGGTAAAACCAGTTCAAAAAAACACTCCTTTTTCCTCAAAAAGCGACCAAAAAAACGAATATATTTTTTTAATACAAATTTTAGTTGTTGCGAACGTGGTTGCTAAGGAGAGGCATTGATATAACGCGCAGCCAATAAACGCGCTCCCTTTTTTGACTGATGTTTCCAATACCAATGCCTCCTCTAGTTTTATTTATAATCTGTATGGTGTTTTCCGCCACCAGCTCGCAATCTTTTCCGCTGAGCAGGGGTTTTCGGGTTCCGCTGAGTAGGGTTGGTTTTCACTCGAGCATACTCTCCGTTTCCTAAGACCAGATGTATGTAATTTCTGAAGGGTCATGGCAAAATTCTCCTGAACGTGCTCTAACTTTTGCATGGTAGCAAGGGCTTGCACGCAATAGGACAATTTTTCACTGAATTCCTCGATCTTACGAGTGTTCACGTTAAATATGTTGGGCAGTTCTAATATCTCTTTCACATAGCTATTTCTAATCGCTGATTCGTTTCCGTACTTATCAGTGAGGATTGACTTGGCACGATTGTAACCTTCCACTGAGAATAGCAAGGCTTCAACACACCGTCTGACTCGGAGCGAGTAACTCGCGCAAATAAGTAAACTTCCTTATGGGTGGAATCGTACTTTTATCTAAAGGCTAAAGCTTCAAAAAACTGTCCCCAAAACCTTGACCAATCCATATACGAGCCATCATACTTAGAAATGACTAATTTTGGCAATTTCGCTGTTTTGAAACTACTGCATTCCTGAACTTCCGGCCCGGTTTTACTCAGAGCCTAATGGCGCAGCATTTGTAACTTTTTCTCATGTATAGTTTTAACTCTCGATAAAACTGCTCCTTCTGCGCCTGGGTACTTTACGAACGTTCTTTATCCGAGATCCAACTCTCAAGAATTAGTGCCTTAAAATGCTGCCCCCAAGCTGATGTCCCCGACAAGTCACAAACAGTCTCAAACAACAGAATTTAATAAAGAAAATGTACTAAAATCTAAGGTCTTCGTCCGCGCTTCTCGCGTGTGCGTCACACCCTAACTAACTAAATTTAAAACCCTTCCCTTAATTAATAGGTTCTATGAAATTGCGCGGTTTGCGCATTGGTAAGTGCCTGCCCTAAAGGTATTTTAAGTGGTCATCAGTTGGTCAGTTCCACTTCACCATTCGGAACATTTTGAAGAATATCCCGTGTGTAGATAAGCTAGGGTGGTAACAATGGTAATACAAAACCATCGCAATAACACCAATAAAAAAACCACCAAGTACCACTCCTAAAGCTGCCACAAATACTACACCATACTCGTGGCGGTAAGGTAACCAGAATCCCATAAGGACACAGTTCTCCACAAACATTAAAGCATAAAAGAATATCAACCGTTTTCTAGTTAACCCATCTTTCACATTGAAAAAACAAAAAACATATATGAATCCCACAACGATTGGGAACATAAACTTTAGGATTTTATTATTGGAATCAAAAGATGGCTTCTGCCAGCGTATCCAGAACGTCATCAAAAACCAATGCAGACAAATGAAAAGAAGGATCCAAGATTTGTGGACTGAGGCAAAAAGGACAAGGGTAACAATACGTGATGCCACCATCGTTATGCGCCAAGCAATCTGACAGGCAAACGCCCACCATGTCATCTTGCCTATTACAATAAAATAAGTAGTTTTAAGCACCGTTCACAACAACAGTTTTTTTGGTGTGGCTGGAGAATTTGTGTCAGTGTATCCCCACCAATCATCATCTATTCAGTCCCCGCTCCCTTCTTACCGTCAGCCCACATGTCATTGTAACTAGTGGTGGATTTTGGGGCGTATCCCTGTAGACGTTAACGTTGGCCACAACGACTTGACTGCCAGTTGCCAAGGGGTAAAATAACATAACCATCTTGCTTTGTTTTGTTAATGGTTAGTGTACCAAGTTGCACATATAAAATGACTTTTGATCACTTGCAGTTTCCTAATTGGTCAAGATTAGCTGCTTACAAATTCATTCCCTTAAACCCCCCCCCCAACTCAATCAGGCTCAAACCATGTTTAAAGGTGGTTTACCATGTTTAAAGGTAGTTTACCTTTATTTTCAGATGCATCTCGTAGGGCTTTGTAATAACAGACGATTGATGATGCCAAAGATATCAATGAGAAACAAGCAGAAAGTGCTGTCAACCAATCATTGTCTTTGTCAAAATGCCTGTTATATGCTAAAATATACAGCTGAAGAACCATTTGTGGTGCTGATTCAATAAATACTTCAAACAATCGCAGCATTGAAATGTCACGCCATTGTCGAATGTTATACTATAGGCATCTCCATCTGCAGTTTCCTTCCTGGTGCGCCTGGCACTTCTGTAATACTCCCAGTACCTAGGTATCAAAACAATCATATGTAGCAGATATAGGTGGTGTGCAGGTAATGGATCTAACTTGAGAAACCATATTCTTTTGTCGCTCTTGCTCTTCTTACTAATTATAATGTGATGTATATATTAATTGGGTGTTAATGCCTAGCAAGGCACTTCAAGATATATTGTCATATGAACTGTTAGGAGATTGAAGTCTAAGTCGAACATTTAACCGTATTTATTCATGATTGATAATGCTATACAAACATACATAGATCACAGACAAGAAGAACAAAAGGCTTAGCGAAGCATAAATCTAAAAGCACATGCTATGCAATCACGTGACTAATTTAACCAATGGCATGCTCTAAATATGAATATACCATACGTAAATAATTACTCCGGCGTCAGCGACGGAGTTGAAAATTCGCCCCGGTTTTGTTTTGTTGTTTTTTCTTTTTTTGTTTTTTTTTATTTTTTTTTATTTTTCGTCGTCGCAAGTCTGAATGGCGCGAAACATTGTAGTATTTAAAATGTGTATGTAACCGTATTTAGCTACGTCCCAGTCTTATCTACCAAGAGTTGTGGTGCACAGCTTTGGCTAATTTTCCGATGCGCGATTCGATTTCGCTCGCATGATACGGCAATTCCTCCAAGAGCAACAAATAAACCGTTCTTTTCATGCTTTTCGACTAAGTTTAGATTGAATTGGGGTAAGAATACATTTAATACATGCAGATTTTGGTCCTATTTTAATAATATCGCTGCTATTTCGCCGTTTAACAAGATGATGTGGTCGTGTATGGGCACGTTGAACGTCGTAGTTTGCACAGGATTGAAGATTTAATATAACTATATAAGCGCGAATTCCAAAGGCAAAGTGTAAGACAAAGCGAATATATCATGCGGTTTATTTACATTTTGAACAATTGAACTTCTATACTTTTTAAAGTACGATGTCCTTTTGAATTTCGCGATCGAACATTTAGGTTCGCAAGGCATCTAAATGCGAATATATATGAACTGTATTGTTTATGTTCAGAAGCTCTATATTGAGGACTGGCACGTGCGCCGGAGTTAACGCCAGAACAGGCGTCTTGTTATATGTATAACATGAACTACTTCCAAAGTCAAAAAGGTTGCAGTAAATTATTTTATGATAGATACAGGAATACAAGAACATACCTTTATGTTATATAGTTATAGAATATGCCACCTAACTATGTAGGGGCTTTTGAATTTGGCTATTTTTGTAGATACATTTCTACAGTATAATTTTTGTTTCAAAGTTTGACATAAAATAATCAGTCATTCAACGCATGGTTATATGTTTTACTAATTAAAATCACAGCATGTGGTTGAGATATTTTTATGCTTCATGTTATAATGCTATTTCCTTTTAAGACATTTCCTTTTCTTCGTGTTTTTGAACGTTCTACAATACATTAGGAGAAGGGTATATTTATCGGTCATTCTGTAGAATCACTGTGACAGAATCGAGAACATACAGCTAAATAGACCTTCTATAAACTGATTTCTTCTTAATTAAAAAAGTCTGTTTACAAGCATTATTCATGCTATGTATGCAGTTACTGATTGTAAAATGTTTGTATTTCATATTTTTGTTTCTGAAATATAACCACGCAGATCAGTTATATCCAGTTATATCCTTAAATAACCAGAATGTTCAGACTTCTTCAATATTAGGAGTATTTTGTTAGGATTTATAGAAATAAAATTTCACTTTCTGAGATAAGATATACACTGGCGGTCAAAAAGAACTGCTCAAATGTTGCTATTATCGTATGTAACAGGAATCGTAACAATCAATCTTTTATTGTACACTAGCGGTCAAAAAAAACTTTTTAGATACAAATTCATAAAGAAGAAGCGAATATATAGGAGAGAGCTTGATAGGCATTTTGGATAATTCTCTTATTCCAAGCAATATTTCAATAATGTAATGCAACCTGCAACACTTTCAAGATATACTCAAACAATGGTTTCAGAATGAGGGAGTGACAGAAATAGATTGGCCTGCACAGTCAAAAGACCTTAACCCTATTGAAAATCTGTGGGACAATGTCAAGGGGATAGTGCAAGAAGAAATTCATTCATAAAGCGTCCATGATTTATGCGTTGCTGTAAAGACTGTCCATAGGATGAATTTCTTTTGACCGTTAAGATTAGAAAGAAAAGACAGAAAGTATGCCACGCCGGTAAGGCCGTCATCAATTATAAGGCCAAAGGAGGGTCAACAAAATACTAATATTTCATATAGCTTAGCATGTAATCTAGTCTATATTTACTCGTTTATATTCTTAAAGGGACAGTTACGTTCATTTGAGAGCATTTTAACTTGTTTTGAACAGTTCTTTTTGACCGCCAGTGTATATTAATGCTGGATTCTTATCATTTATAGACCTGAAGCGAGGGGAATTCGACGAAATATTACCCCAAGGAAAGATATATCCCGAGGGCTTAGCCCGAGGGGGTGATATTTCGTCGAATTCCCCGAGCGGAAGGTCTATAAATTATATATTATATCGAAACAACGTGTGGGTGAAATGGCTTCTTTTGCCTCCATTTTGAAATTGTTGACAACCTCGAGTCGTGTGCGAGGCATCCACGCGTGGTACACGCAAACTCTAGGAATTGTGTAGAGAGTCTCATCGCGAGACGTTCACCGTAAGCTTTATGCTACGCTCGTTTGTTTAAGTTTGAGCGCTCTGGTGACTCTACTATTCAATTCCAACAATGTGTAACCGACTCTACTATTCAATTCCAACAATGTATATATATATATATATATATATATAATATTATATATATATATATATATATATAATATATATATATATATATATATATATAATATAATATAATATATATGAGCGTTGCTCAGCGCACAAATGCACGCACGTGCCTTCGCGTGAAGGGCTAATTCCACGACGTGCGAAATACGAAAAATTTCGCTCGAAAAAAGAATTGTGCGAAAATTTTCTTTCCTCAGTGACTTCCACGGTCAAAACAAAACGCGCGAAGTTCGAAAAAAATAAAAACAATATGGCTGCGTATGAAGAAATATCGATGCTCTTGCTTATTCTTTATCGTAGAAGAAAACGTCGTAAAAGTAATAGCTAAATACAGGAAAAGATTTTGGGTCAGAAAGTTATTTCAGCTATTTCATTTGTTCAAACTATTTTTTTTCTTATCTGCTCTTTTATAATCCGGGCAATTTCTTAACCAGAGTGTTGGCATGGACTGGACTTCATTTATAAGTAATTCATTGAAATAATTGTCAGAAAACGTTCTTTCTTGCGTTTCATTTTGTTTTGTTATTTCAACTTCCGTATCTCTTTCATGTAATGTTTGCTCCTGTGACGGGCTAGTTGCAATTCTTTGTTGCTGTGCTTCGAAAAATTGGTGCAGCAAGAGTGATGTGTCTTCGGACAGGAACATGTTGTTGACGCCATGTTGGAATTGAGGTATTGCTTTGTCAGCAATTTGAATTAAATATATTAATATATTAAACATTGAATACCTTTGCAACGGGCCAAGTTGTAGCACATGCAAAACAATGGCTGTTTTGCTGGCTTCTTTACGCGTGTCGTCGTAATACCACTTTAGTGAGAACATCATCATAACTAACGAAGCACTCATGACACACGCGAATGTGAGAGAAAACCAGATGTAGTCCCCATTGCGGAAATACTTGAGAGAAACCAAAATATCTGTCACAACATCTGCTATATAGAAACCCACACTGATGAAAATCCACAAATAATCGTACCAAGCGGCTTTCAACGATTGAGCTGAAGTGATTGGAGTCGACGAACGATCCCTTTTTGGTTCACCGTCTGGACAATCAGTGCAGTCATGATTGCGGTCTTCCATCATTGACTTATTAGACATCTTAAATGAGTTATATAACCCGAATGTCATCGTCAAAACATCAGCGTGTCTTGCTTTTTTATCCCCGCTGATTTTTATTGGATCTAGAAATACACAGCAGCGCATTCCTAAGATTCTCGCCTAATCTGCTGGGAATTGTCGCGCCAGTTTTTGGCATTTGGAAAACACATGAACTATTCCAGTAGCACTTTGTACAAGGTTGGCAGCAACCAAAGAAAGTTGAGCTGACCAAAGCTCAATATACAGGGTGTATCAAAAAAAATGTCCCAAATGTAAAAATTCCGTTTTTCAGGATATTTTGCAGAATTTGGCAAATTTTTGTGTTCCTAGAGATAGTTAAGACTTATCTGGTATACCTAGGCCAAGTTTGGTTTTTCATCAACAAAATTATGTTACCGGGGGGGTGGTTCTTTTCCACTGATATTGAGAGGGCTTGCGCGCGAAAATGTGAAGCTGAAATTGAGATATTATTTAGCTGTCTAAAAGTAAGAAAGCTTTTTAATAAACTGTCAAAGTTTCAGGAAAAATAATGCATACTGGGAGCAACGCGCGACCCCTAAAGGTGACAAATATTTCATTGCGCGCAGTGGATTAAATGCATCGTTGATTTTAGCGTGACCGATCTCATGTAAGGCTGGGCAAATGAATGATATAAAGCGAGAAACTGAACACAAAAACAAAGCGATTTATTCGTGATGTTAATCCTCAGCATGTCCACCATTTCATTCTAAGCAAACTGCGGCTTGTCTGAGCATACTAAACACTGAACAGCGAATCATTTGTCTGTCCATTCGCCTAGATTTGCCGGTGGTAGCGTAGGCGATTTGCAAGAAAGAAATTCCAACGAATTGGATAATAGGAGGCAGGACAGACAAATGTGGTTCGCCGTTCAGTGTTTACCATGCTCAGACGAGCCGCAGTTTGCTTAGAAAGAAATGGTGGAAATGTTGAGGATTAACATCAAGAATAAAAATCTTGTTATTAAATCGCTTCGTCTTCTTGTTCAGTTTCTCGCTTTAATTTATTCATTTGCCCAGCCTTGCATGAGATCGGTCACGCATTGAAATATTTGTCACTTTTAGGGGTCGCGCGTTGCTCCCAGTTTGCATTACTTTTCTGAAACTTTGACAGTTTATTATAAAGCTTCCTACTTTTAGACATGCAGCTAAATAATATCTC